GTGCTTATTTTCTTCCTTAAGGCGTATTATACTAATAGCCTATGGAAAAACAGTTTAAAAAATTACATTTATGTACACAAAATGATTTAATAATAAATAGCACTTTTTAAGCTTATAAAAATTTACAATAAAATTTCGTAGAATTTAGTTCAAATTTAAATGGCTAAAAAATATTGTAAAATCTAATTGAAAAACGTAACTTGTGAAAAAAAAAGGTCTAGGACCCTTAGGAGCCAAGATAGCCCTTTTTAAAACAGCTGTTACTTTAATTAACAACATTAATGGCTAAAATTAACAATATTTTGTAAAAAAAGGTCAACGTTTTAAACAAAACTGTTAGCAAACTTGTTTAAACAGGAGTGTTATATTTGTTGCGTTCTGCACATACGATGACCTCAATATAACAATTAGGGTCATCCTGAAGGGAGAGAGAATGTATTATGTTCAATCTAGAACTTGCAGGTTTCCCCCTTTCAGGTTGGGTGTGTATATTAAACTAAAAGAAGAGAAATGAAAGCCAGAGTACTATATAAAACTCTATTTAAAAAAGCAATGAAATTAAAACATAAATATACATAACCAAATGTACAATTACAACTAAAGAAGAATATATACAAACTTAAATATTAGTTATATAACGACTATAAACGGATATAACACCAAAAGATAAGCATAAACAAACCAAAACAAAAATGTCGATTCTACACGGCGCGTCACGAAAAAAAGACCACCTAGAATTTTGTAAGAATTTTTCAATAATTTTTACTAATAAGTTTAAACTAAGTTTATACAATTTATTCTATTGTAACTAAATTTCCACAATGCAGAAACACTTTTAGCGTCTTTTAGGCACCGACAAATGGTGATGACAGGTCAATTAAGGGTAATAAGTTTGCAGAATTGATATCAGTTTTACGACTTCGGATAATGAACGTGTTGTTTCTACCTTATTTTTCTTGGAATATGGCTATTCTGTTTTTCAAAAACCTTTCAATAGTGTACAGTTGTTCGAAGAGTAAACTTGTGCAATTTTTAAATAAAAAACTATGGCTGAGAAATTTACTAGATCTGTTCAAATTGTTACTTTGGTTGGTAATGGAATGAGTCAAAGAGAAGTGACCAGACAGCTTGGAGTCAGTCGTTGTATGGCCCAAAAAATTTACCAACGATTCGTAGAGACTGGATCTCACGAACGACAATCAGGATCAGGCCCGAGAATAATCACGACGGCCAGAGAAGACCGTTCTTTACCACGCACTTCTTCTTTGTAAAATCGGTTCTTTAGAATAGAGGATGATCTAAAATCCATCATAAGAGAAGAGTCGCCAGAGACAGGGTCGAATGGAAGTTTGTTCTGAAGAAGGCTTTGGCTAATAACGAGCTGCAATGCCACTGATGATAATGAAGAAGCTTTGAAGACATTCTTCCATCGAATAGTTGACTGTTTTCCTCTCGAATGCATCTAATTTTCACATTTAATACCGAATTAATTAATTTAATCTTACAAAAATAATACATCAAATTACAGATAAGTTTTTGCATTGTGTTACTCAAGTATCAAACACGACTTACTACTGGCTATTGTTTGCATAAACATTTAGTTTTGCGTGCATTGATTAAGAAAACATCGATTATATATTATAACCATATCATCCGAAAAATATAATTAAAACATTAGCTAGCATACGTTTTCGCAAAAATCGACAAATAAACTATCTATGGAAATGTAAAAAAAGAGTAGTGTGTAAAATGATTAATTCCTAATCATTGATTAATTAATGATTAATTCTAATAAAATTGAATACTTGCGCCCTTTTACGTCATCATCAGAGCTAAGTTGTTATGTTGATTATGATTCTCTCTTGAATGCTTCTTCAGCTTTCTATGTTATTTAGTTTGTAGCCAGTTCCATCGGTATCGATATCTTCGTTGGAAACCAAGTTTGTCATTAGCTCTGATTTTGGAGAAATCTATTTTTAGGTCTGCTTGTCGCGAGGCTGACAGTCTTTCCAGCATTGATCCATTGATATTTATGCAGATATATTCGAGTATTGTGGTAAATAACTTATGGTAGATTATGTACACCTCTTTTAATTCGAAATTTCTTAGTGTCTTCCTGGGGTTTAACATTTGCTGGTGCGTTTTGATGGATACGTTTGATTATTGTAGTATATCGGTGATCTATTCTACAGGGTCGTGAATCGTCAAACGGGCCATAGGAAACTCAATGAGAAATTCTAAATTGTTAAATTCCTGCTTCCCTAATTATTTTACACCAAAAGTCATGGGAAACTATTTGTAGAGGACTCAAATATGTATCGAAAACAATTGTTAAAATTGTTCTACGACTTAAACGTATTCCAAAATTTTGCTAAAATATAATACATTTTTCAGGCCACCCCTAAAAAGTCAGGCCAGACGCCGTGAAAAGAATGTGTATTACGTGTTGCGTTTTGTCATATTGACGTTTCTAATATTTGACAATATTTAAATCAACTATATTATATTTATCTATGATTTAAATGGCCAAAATTTTGTGATTTATTATTTAAAAGAAAAATTAAGTTGAGTAAAAAATGTACTCAGTTAAGGAGAAAAGAGCAATAATAAAAATGCTTTATTCATGTTTTATTATAACATTTGTTATAGTTTTATGTTTAGAAATTATCATATATTATTAATAGGAATAAAGATCACAGTAACAGTATATTGGAATTCATTGAATTGTTGTATAACTTTACTTAACATGAAATTAAATTTTAGTGTATTAGAATATCTTACATTAAATAAAGATCCGGTAGTGACAGGAAAAGGTTCGCGCTATTGCCTGAATACAACATTATGCGATTTTTCGTCAACTGAGTACATTTCATTATATTGATCGATTTGTAAACAATATACTTAATTTATTGTTCACAAAGTAATATTGTTCAGTAGTAGTAGTATTTAGTAAAATTCATTGTTTATAATTTAATCGTAAAATAAAAAAAAATGACAATTCAAATTGACAAACATCTTACATCAATACATCGAGCAAAAAGACAATAGAGGGAATGTAAAGGTAGTGGTGGCAAACATATTGTTAGACAGGAAGTGCGATCTTTAGAGGCCACTTTAAACAAGGATAGAGAGTCTCTCTCCTTGTTTGGCATCAAATTTAGTTGGGTTATGTTATTGTTTGTCCCAAATGTCACATGAAATCTTATTTATATTGAAGTTTTTTAACAATTGTGTCGCATTTTAGACTCTTATCATTAATAATTAATTAAAACTTTCTCGTCTAAGACACATTCTGAAAAATATTATATAGCTACTGTTGATAAGTGTCGGAAAATTTAAATTTCGCGCATTCGCATTTCCGGATATGTCCGCCATCAGAGGCCACTTTTTTGGTCTCCTTTTCATAAGGATTAGATTCCCTCTTTTGTCTTATTGCTCGATGCATCAATATGATAAAACACACACATAATATTCTTGTATTACGTGTGGCCTAACTTTTAGGGGTGGTCTGAAAAATCTATTATATTTTTGCAAAATTTTGAAGTACATTTGATTCGTAGAACGGTTTTAACATTTGTTTTTAATTCAGAATTTAGTCCTCTACAAATAGTTTTTTATGACTTTTGAGCTAAAATAATTAGGGAAGCAGCAATTCAACAATTTAAAATTTCCCATTGAGTTTCCTATGGCCCGTTTGTCGATTCACCACCCGGTATAGTCTGCTAAAGCTTCAAGCAAAATATGCTAGTTGACTGCAATGCTTTGACATGGTCCACAAATATTAGGGTTTATTGTACTCCATAGTTTTATTTATAAGGCCCAAACCAACCTTCTTACGTGATTGGTGTAGATCTAGCTTGTAATTTAGTCAGTTGATATCCTTTTATAAGTGTGAGTATAATATAATTGCAATATTCCACTGGTCCGGTGATATTCCTTTCACGATACATTAATTGAATAGTACTTTTAATGCTCGTAGTAATTATTACAGAAGGTACTTTTATGCCTTCGATTTGTATTTTATCTTCACCGGGTGCTTTGTTGTTCTTTTATGCCATCATGTGTTTTTCTTATCTCCGACAAAGTCATTTCAGAGATATTCTCTGATCTTAGATTAATTACTCGGGATATTTTAGTATTTGTCGTGATTTCTTGATGTTTTGATTTCTTTTCTATTTGTTACAGTTTGTCCTCTTGCGTTTGTTATTTGAAACTTTAATTATTTTCTCTTCTTTGACTACAAGTAGATCATATTATTTAAGATATCCGACTAGATTTAAACTCATTCGCAAGTAATATTTTATCGTTTATTATATTTCTTTCAATGTTTTAAAAGCTTTTCATTTTAATTGTTGTTTTTATTGCTCAATTCAAATAACTAATCATTTAATTATTTCAAATAAGTTTGCCTTACGATGTTTTCTGTACCAAATGATTTGAAATGGTTTGCTATAATTTAATTTTCATACACTTAATAATATAACTTAATTAAAGCGGTGTAGGAATGTTGTTGAGTTTATATTCAGAAGAAAAAAAATATAATTATTTAAAGCTCTATAACATCCGTTTTACGTTGAACGTTGATAAGACCTTCACCTTGCGAGACCTTTATAATCCCTTTGTTTGAGATTTTCACGGTGACATGCAAAGTAAACTCAGTTTTTATGAGAGTACTAATTTGTATAGCGGAGCACATAAATCTGTTACTTTATTGCCACTCAGCATGCAACTTTTATCTCTATTTTTAAATAAGAGTATTTATTAGGGAAGCAGTACAGAATTTTTTAACTGCATTTTAAGTAAATCTTTCATGTTTCCACTTTTTATTGGGGATCCGGCCAACATTTAATGGAAATTCAGCTCAATTAGTACATATTAAAATAAAAAATTTTTAAAACTACTTGCATTGGGCTCGAATATTCGTTTAAACCGTAGTTAATTAAATTAATTTACACATATCAACACATGCTCTCAAAGTTATAATAATAGTTGATACTTACTAATTATTAATATCATTTCCAGCGATAGATTCCAGCTCTTCCGCAGTAACTCCTAAATTTCCAGGAAACCTTGGATTTCTCATGTGAAATTCCAACTTGTATATTAACAATGACGTATACAATCGGATCATCTTTCCGTATCCCTCTTTTAAATGACCCCACAACTTTCCTATCTCGTCCAGATCATTTCTATGCCTTTGACTATCGACCAAGCAAAGTGGATGTCCTTCTCTTAATACTTTGTGAACCACGTGACAGAGTTTCCACGCTACGATCCTGTCATCCATGGCAGGAAGACGAAGAGCATAGGACCAAAATATTTTGGCACTTTGGGTGTGGAAAGTACCGATGATTGCTGAGCGGACATGCTTTTGTTTTACTGGCGTTTCGTTACTGTTAATAGCTTTCTGAAGCGCTTGAGCCTAAAAATAAAAAAAAACATAATTAATTGTGAGTTTTACTTTTAATTAAATAGTTTTATTATTAAATACCCGGTAAGGAATTATTCTTTCCCGAAGTTTCGGGTACTGTAAACGATCATTGCCTCATAGATTGCAGAAGAAAAGTCGGGAAGAAATAATTCCAAACCATGGCCTATAAACTTCGAAATTAATGTACAATTACGAAATACCGGCTACGAAAACTTACATTAAAATATACCTACATATATTTTATATTTTTTACGATAACGGTATATATACTCAGTAAAGGTAAAAGTTTATGGTCGGTATGGACCTTACGTGAGATGGAGTGAGAAACACCTGTTTAAAAAGAGAGGTATATTGGTCCGCCCTTTATATCGCCGAACATGCATGCGTGGATATAATAAAAAAGGGGAAGTTCAACGTTGCCAAACTTACTGGTTTTATTTGACCTGTTGTCTTTTAGCATTTGAACAATGTTCTAAGATAATCAAATTTGGGCGAAATGGATTTAAATGGCAGCTTACTGTTTTTTATTTTGAATATGCCACAATTTTACTTTACAATAAGTGTAATATAAAATTTTGATTTCCACTTCGGAAATTGTTTTTTCGTATTTTAAGTACGATTTCCGAACTAAAAATCTAAACATCAAAATAAGCTTATTTAAAAGTCACATTGTGCCTTATTCCCAATATAATATAATAAACTGCATACAATAACGCCACATTAAAAAATCTTAACAAAATTATTTGGCAAAGTCTGTCTGGTCAAAGCACCGAATCAAAGTAGGGTAATGAGTAGTAGAGGTGGGTCGTTGAGGTTTTTATCGTTAAGAGCGTAGGCGCAAAATTTCGGGCCAATGCTTTTTAAATGCATTCATTTTTTTTGAATCCTGAGAAAAATAATAAATATTTTTGAAACATTTAAACGCAGAATGAAAGAATACATTATTACCGAGGGCCGAAAGTCCCTAAAAACTTCTATAATGTTTATTTTAATAAGTTACAGGGGTGAAAAAAAACAGAAAATTTAGTGTGATTTTTAATTTCAAATATCTCATTCAAAACATTTTTTGTTTATTCTAATACAAATTTTGTATTGTTTAGTTTATTTTTCAAGTTATAATAAATATATCCTTCGTTAGTTTCTTTCACTACAATGCTTATACACATAAACGATAATAGCCAATATGTTTGTGTACTCGCTTATTTGAATACTGGTAAAAAATCAACTAGTTAGAGTTTACGAGAAACGGTTCCGATAAAAATGTCAATGACCCACCTTTAGTTTCTTAACTGTATTAGGATCGGAACCAGAGATATGTAACTCACTAATGGGCAATGGGCGTCAATAAGATTTATGGAGGGGAGAACAAGGGGAAATATGATTGCTATCTTTGTCTATTCGCTGAAAATATGATTTTATATCTGTGTTAGATCTCCTGTTAAATTTTACCATACAGACCATAATATTTTACCTTTGCCCATTTTTAAATGCATGTTCACCCAATCGGATAAACTACAATAACATCAAAGTAGTAGAACAGGAAAGTAACATCACCAAAAGACTTTTTCTGGAAATGGCCTACATTTGACAAAATAATAATGAAATGAATCATAGAACAGATATTGGCCATCTAAATGAAATGTTCTCCTATTTGTTACTACAAGATAAATGCAACAATAAGACAAACAATAATTTATCAATTGACATTTAAGTAATTAAAAAGTTCATTTTTGAGGAATTTATTTTTTTACAAAGTTAGTTTGTTTAAATTTAATAATTTTTAATTACACACAGATACTGGGGTCATACAAAACAAAATCACAATAAATTGTAACGTTTTTAGAATTACGACCTTATTTATGTTATGTTAATTTAATAGGCTTTGTTTTAAAACATTGACAAGTTGAAGTTTCACTTCCTAATGATATTAACAAATATAAAATAATTTATATTTCCACGATATACCTAATAATAAGCCTATAATTTGTTGTACTAGCAGTTGCTTGATATTAGGGATGTGAGATTTTCACTTGCCAATGTCAATATCAATGTCATAGATTTGTGTATAAATAATTAAGTTTGTGTGAATGTTAAGTAATTTTTTAAAATTTTAAATATAGGAATAGGTTTTAGTTCAACAGACTGAGATAAATTTTATCAACAATTTTTATAAAATCATTTATGATACAACCTCATTAAGTTTGTAAGTATCGAATTTTTAATTTATTATACAAATTTGTAAAAATTATTCATCACATTTGTAGCTCCCTGATGAAGGACATAACCAATGTCCGAAAGCTTGGAATAAAAATTTAAAAGAGTACACCTTTCATTTTTATTGCTGCATACCCAATATTTAAAGTTTACTTCCTTACGTGGTCAGCAAATACTTCTGGTTCATTATATATATATATATATATATATATATATATATATATATATATATATATATATATATATATATATATTAATAAAGTATTCAACTAGTGAATTCAGAGGTTTATTCGGTCAGTCAGGTTGGCAAAATAAAAAACAGAAGTCAACTACTTCATAAGTTTATCGAAGACGTTTCGCTTTATATTTCTAAAGCTTCATCAGTTCTCTAAAATACAAAGATGACATAGAGTTTATAAGAAATACAGATCTAATAATTAATTACTTACAACTCAATATGTAGTATTAAAGATGTTATAAGATATGTACTTAAGTTTACTCATAAATTTAGAACTAACTTTATGAGTAAACTTAAGTACATATCTTATAACATCTTTAATACTACATATTGAGTTGTAAGTAATTAATTATTAGATCTGTATTTCTTATAAACTCTATGTCATCTTTGTATTTTAGAGAACTGATGAAGCTTTAGAAATATAAAGCGAAACGTCTTCGATAAACTTATGAAGTAGTTGACTTCTGTTTTTTATTTTGCCAACCTGACTGACCGAATAAACCTCTGAATTCACTAGTTGAATACTTTATTAATATAAATTGACGGTCGTAGCTTTTACAATATATATATATATATATATATATATATATATATATATATATATATATATATATATATATATATATATGTATAATTATAATTTTTGGGTAAGATAAATCACTTAATTGGTATATGAAATGAATAAATGCGAATTTGTGTATAAAACTCATAGGTGTTTCTTCTATTCACAACAAAATAAAAGGTATACGTGTTTACCTTTTTAATGTGGCGCAGTCAAATATGCGCCACCATATAATCATAGTCCCTAATACTGTTCGTTGGATATATATTACATTCAAGCACATTAACAACAATTCTTTGGCGCCAGAAATATGCTCTAGAACTTAATTGGATCCACAACAAACAGTGAGGATAACTCATAAACTAAATCGGATTAGAACCAAATATAAATCTATATCGTAAATAACTAGACAGCACATTTGTTCTTTCTGTACCTCGAACCCTTTCGTCGATACAAAAATATATTCAGGCCACTTAGATCGTTGTTTCTCTCAGAAAAATGGCGACAGGTATAACCAAAAATTTAAATGTAATATAAAAAGACATAAAAAAACTGAAAATTCTTATAAATACTCTTAGGCTTTATGGATGTTATTAAATTATGACATAAGGATCGTTCAAAAACACTCGTAGATGTGTATCTATTTTCGGTATAAATATTATGGAGTGTAATAGCTCATTTTAGTACAATTTCTTGGTAACACTTTTAAGGATACCTGAACGGATAATTGCGCCAATTAGCTTAATTGGCAGACTAATTTGGATAATATAATATTAATGTAGGTACATACAAAAGGTCGAACGGCAAAAAAGGTAATGTAATAAGGCGATCTTATTGCATAATTCTCTCGCTACAGATATAGGATTACATTCTCTCTCGATACATTACATAGGAAAATATGGCTCTGATTTACTAAGTTTTTTCTGTCATATTTCTTATGGTAAGAGCATATTGCAAAAAGAAAGTAAGGTAATGTGTGAACCCCACAAAAATTTTATAGTAGTTGTGATCCACGACTGAAAAGTTGGTGTACAATTAAATTATTAATGTGACTCCCTTAGTTTAGGACGCTATTTTCTAACTTTTTTTTCCTGTTGATATTTTTACGAAACGTCTGTTTTTATCGATATACAGCCTATTTTTCATTATGTCAAATGTATAATGTATTTTACAAATGTTCAAAATATCTTCTATTTCTTTTAACGTACATTCTGTATCTTTTTAACCAGGAAATTTTAACACTTCACAATCAAAGTTAATAGAGTGAAGATCTGGACATCTGGTGGCCAAGAAGTAAGTGTAGCAGACCTTCCATTCGGAGATTCAGCTCTCCGAAAAGGAATTCCAACTTCGTTATTTTAATGAGCTAGAGCACTGTCGTAAAAACACATCTGCTTGTGACGTAATTATTCGAAGCATAATCCTGTCCTCTTTCTAATATTACGAAACCATGAGTGTTTTTTTTCATGATTCTTTCGATTTATTTGCCCCTTTATTATTACATAAGGACTATAATACTTTGAATTACGCAATAGATGGGGTAGGTAAGCTGACTTCCTGAATTTGATTGATAAGATAAATTATCTACCACACTTATGCCTTATCTCAAGGCTTCTATCAGACTTGTTGTTTTTAAGGTACAGGTCTTTTCTCCGTACAGTAAGACTGACTTTATGTACCATTTTGTTAGGCTTACTCTAAGATTTATATAAGGATATGGATCGCAAGGAAGCCCCTGATTCCTGACCTGGGCAATTCTGGAAGCTATTTTTTTGGATTCAGTTGGTTATCTATCTAATAGCTCAAGTATTTGTATTGATTTAAAAACGTTGTTATCTTAATTATGAAGCATGGGGGTACATTTTGGTTTCTCTAATTAACATCGTTTGGTTTTCTGCTAATATGTTTTGTAAAAACTGAAAATAAGTTTCACCATTAAAGGTGTAAAAATCGTAAAAAAATTTAAACCTTTTTTAA